TAAAAATATGAATGGAATGTACACACGAATGATAGATGAGCGTGTGGAAGGTTCACGTCGTAGTTGAATGACGTTTGGGACCAATGATAAGGGTGGGATGGGATGGTACGTAGGATCAATAAAATGAGTATGCAGAGCATGTTTGAGAGATTGTGGTTCCATAGAAGCAATGGCTCTGCAAATAACTATAGTCACAAAAAGTAATAACCATATTTTTTCTAACGTATTGCAACTATATGATAGCTGGAGCTGCTGTTATTGAGGATCCATATATTTCCCCCCCATTTTTTGGGGTTGAACAGCAGGTGCGACGTGGGGAAAGGGGAGGGGAGGGGAGGGGACTTGTCGGTTGAAGTCGAGCCGCAATGTATTGGAACAGATGGACACTGACAGGGGAAACATGGAGGTCGAATGAAATCGCACCATTCGAAGCGAAAGTTTCATTGACAAGCCCGCCGCGAGTGCATCGCAGAAAAACCTCCACCGATTTTGACGCGCTGCCGTCTCACAAGTTACAGCTAGGCCTCCTTGGCTGTTGTGACGCTCATATCCTTTTGATAAACTGTACGCAAGTTGAACCAGCCATTGACAAGTTTCATACGCAATATGTTTACGTAATTTATATTGCCGATTTGTCAACCTGGAACCACAAGTTAGTGGAGCATATTCTAGAGATCGCGCAGGTATTGGACCCACATTGGTGTCGACGAGCCTACGCACCAACTATTTCGAGGCTGCAATTCAGGGAGGGGCCTTCTGGTTCTGCGGAGAACGAATGGATAGAATTGCTTGCGAGGCTTCTCAACAATTTACAGTCCTAGTTCACGTACGTGTTACATCTGCAGCTAAGGGTGTATTGTATCATGGTGTCCACGCGTGCAGCAACTTGCACGAAGTGAAGCCGTTCCCAGTTGGCTTGTGTGAGGCGGATGTTTTTCCGCCAAAATCCTCCTCCGATTGATCCAAGTGCGACAACAATCATACATGGCTAGTAACCGGATGCTCCTCCACCGTCCACCTTATGGCGTGTGCAAAGTGCGCAAAAACTCGACGTCGAGCAACGTCGGTGAATTTCCACCCTTGGATCAAAGGTTCCAACCGTCAGGATTCACCGACGTTCCTCGACGTCGAGTTTGTGCAGCACTTTGTACACGCCATTAGTATTGCCGGATCACAATCGGCCTTCCGGTTAACGGTTTTCCATCGTTTCCGGGGCCCCACCCACCGAAGGTGTTTTGTCTTGACAGAGAGAGCGGGGTCCGTTCACATTCTAGAACACTCGTGCAGCTACTATTTGAGCGAGGATGAATAAGTTATTCATTCACGATTCGCTGTCAATCTGGAAACGTTACAGCTTCACCGTAGCGCATTGGTCCCTTAACTACTACGAAAGAGGGCCAAGGCCACGCTTGAAGGGATCCGACTGCGGGAACGTCCCCTGCTCCAGTCTGCAAGCCCCGTTAGTCCGCCTGTACTAACCTCGTCAGGACGGACTCTTTCGTCCGGGCCTGATTTCCAAGTCGCACCACCATATTCAACATCTTTCTGGTTTCCAGGGCACAGGATTTGAAGAGCAGTACTAGTAAGTTGTACGACCGACGCTTCTCAATCCGTGACGGGTTTACTCAGCGACTCGTCAGTAATTCACCGCTTTGGCCGCTTAGGGAAGTCTGCGTGCTGGGGGTGCTCATCCACGTCTGGAAGGATTTTGTAACTGGCAGTTACCAGCTGCTGCGATACACGGCGTACCGCACGGGTCTCTTCAAAAGCTCCACCAGAGTCTGCGCAGCCGCCGGGATTCCCCCCACTGCCTGCCGCGCGGTCTGTTCGGACTTGCGATCGCTGTGCTGCTGCTGCTGCTGCTGCTACTGCTACCAGCCATTGTGAGCGCCAGCGGTCGCGATGCACCGCCTCCGACGTCGCCTCAGGCCCGCGCCAGAATCATCATGTCTCAAGGAAGAGTGGCGTGCGTTCGAAAGCCCACGTGCAAGTGCAACTAGTACTAGTACCACTACCACTAGCACCAGTTCTGCTAGTACTACTACTAGCAATCTTACCCCGCGGCGGCGGCGTGTGACGGCAGCGTCGGCGGTGCGTCTTCTGCTCCTCACGTCATGTCTCGCGGCCGTCTCTTTCGCTCGCACTGCCAGTGCCGGACTTCAGAATTATGCTGTCACTCTCCACCCCTCCCAAGGTACCACTACTACTGCTTCTCTCGTCTCTCGTCTCTCCAACCCTAGCGTCATGAGGCTTCGTGGTGGTGGCATCTTTCCCATCGTTCTTTCACATCCTTCAAGGCGTGTAGTTTAAGGGTTCCACTGAATCGCGTTCCTGCCTGCCAGGCAGCCGCACCCACCCACCGGCTGTGCTGGCGTCACATGGTTACTCACTCACTCACTCTCGCCCACTCACTCACTCTCACTCACTCACTCACTCACTCACTCACTCACTCACTGCTCATGATGCTCCCGCCTCTCTGTTCCTCTCCGCCCGCCCACTCTGGTTCTTCACTTGACTTGAGACGACTAAAAGAATCTCCTCTCTTTTCTTCTGTCTGCTGTTTCTCAGTCTTCTCAGTCCCCACCCCACCCACCCCATCCCACCCCACCCCACCCTACCCTATCTCACCCCACCCCGTTACAGTCCCAGCGCTGCAGGACTGCAAGTCCTCGTGGGGCGTGGCGATGCAATGGGATTTAGGAGACGACTGCATGACAGCGTACTTCGACCCAATCGAAGACCCCTGGCCCAAGCCCAGAGGCATTCTCTGTGATGACGACGGCATGGTCATCACACTGTGAGTGCATGTGCACCTTACTGGCCTACTACTACTTCTCCTGAGGGACCTTCGACTCTTGTCGAGTCAACTCAGAAATAGTCTCTGTCTCCGTCTCAAAAGCCGGTTCTGTGCTATGACTCTATAAGAACGTCATGTTCGGTTGTAGTGTGAGTGATGGGGCTTGCTAGGTACGTGCCAGTGCGGAAGTGCCAGGCAGGCAGGGTAGGGTACCGCAACATCCCCTTCCCTTCCCCCCTTCTTTCTCCACCCTTATCCCTCTCCCCCCTGTTTTTGTCTTGTTCTTATGTTCCTGCTTTTGTAATCGCATCTTGTCATCCTGGGTGGGTCGCTGATGCTACAGTGGCTTTGGCATAGACTCGCCCCTCATGCTCTTCCTTGCTCTGCCTATCATTTATCTTCCCTGTCACGCCATCTCTGACAGGAGCATGTCAAACGAGCATTGAGTCACCTCGTGCTCTTCTCTCCGCTGCCTTGTGTCATCCCCACAGGAGCATGCCAAACGAGCAACTCCAAGGGTCCCTACCTGCGTCGCTCGGCTCCCTCGCTCAGCTTGTCTACCTGTACGTGCCATTTGAGCTACACTGTTACTCGTACCTGTTCGGGTCACTTCTGTTGAGGGGGGTCCACTGGAGGAGGGGGGGATTGAGGTGCCACAACAGTCCTTTGGTTCCCTCCTTCAGTCGGCCTGTGCGGTTCGAGTTACACTGTCTGCTCTGCACAGACCTGTTCCGTTCTGTTGAGATGAGACGAGAGCACCCACAGGGGAATTGCCACAGGGGGCTCGCATGAATGGAAAAGGCAATTGCGCTGCCCTAGAGAAACTGTGCGGGAGCACACCAAATCCTTCTGAAGCACACCCGTTTACAGGCCCTGCTGGTGGTGGCTGGTTGGGATTTCAGTTTATGGTTGGCTTGACACACTCTTTGCTTGGGCTCTCAGTCAACATACTGTAACACTTGGCCCTGAGTTATGTACGGGGCTTTGTTCTCTACCAGCAGCTAGTAACCCATGTACGGTACCAACCAACCAACCAACCAACCAACCAGCCAGCCACTGACATTAGCTCGCCACCACCGCTGCATGCTGAACACTGTTGTGTAACGATTCGTCACCACCACCTTGAATGTGCCCCCTCTGTCCCCTTCTGCCCCTCTGCTCCCCTCTGCCCCTCTCTTCTCCCCTCTGCCCCTCTCTGCTCCTCCTCGCCCCTCTCTGCTCCCCTCTGCCCCCTTTATCCCCCTCTACCCCCCACTCTCCCCTCCTCCCCTCCACCCCAACCCCACCCCACCCTCCCACTTTCCACTGCATCACGTGCTGGCAGTTGCATGGCAACTCGTTCACAGGATCCGTCCCAGCGACCATCGGACAGCTCACGAATCTCCTCGTCCTGTCCGTACCCAATCCACCCACCAGCACCGACCCGACCAGCCTCTCTGTTTGTCCGTCCGTTGCTCACCTTTCTCCGTTCCGATCACCAGCAGCAGCAGCAGCAGCAGCACACCACTATCGTGCTACCAGAAAACAGTACCCTGTGCCGTGATGTGACGTGCTTGACATTGGATAACCAGAGAAGGCCTTGACTGCCTCTCTCCCTCCAACCCCATTCAACGGCTAACCAGGTCTCTTCAAGGCAACAAGCTCACAGCCATTCCTGACTCTCTAGGCAACCTGACTCAGCTCAGAGAGCTGTGAGTACTTTGTTCACTGCTACACCTACCAGTGTTTTCACTCACCTGCTGCTACAGCTGACTTTTCTCTCTTTCTACTGCTGCTACTGCTGTGTAGATACCCCTAAGCGTCCGTCCCTGCACTACCCTCAACTGACCTTGTTTTGTTGGAATTTGAACCCTGACTCGTTTCCCCCACTGCCCCCTCCCGTCCCGTGTTTCGCCCCAATCCCTATCCTTACGCCTGGCAGCAATTTGGCGAGAAACAAAATAGCCGGCACTGTACCAGCATCACTTAGCAAGCTGCAGGCTCTAAACCAACTGTACGTACGGGTTTTACATTGAATCATCTCTGGCCGACCTCTCCTCTCCTCTCTCCTCTCTCACGACTTGAGGCGGGTCAAAGCTAGACCGTACGTAGGCGTAACTATTCATTATTCAAGGCGTCTTTGGCTGGCCTCGCGTTTTAGCCACCTCAAAAGTGCCCCAAAGTGAGACTGTATGTAGGTGAAAGCACATCACTCGAGGTGTCTATGGCTACCCTACCCTACCCACCCCTTGCCTTTCTTTTTCTCCTCCCTCTTCATGCCTCTTCCCTCTGCCGCTCCTCAAAACGCACCACTACGTGCACACTTGTGCATCCACGCACACACACGCACACCCACGCACACGCACACACGCATTAGCTCACACACCCACGCGTACCCACACGCATTCAAAGCGATGTGCAGGGAAAGAAACTCTCCATGCCCATGGTGGCCCATGCCATCCCATGTTGTGCAATCTGCTATGCCTCATCCACACCACATCAGGTCCATGGGCTCAAACCAGCTCTTTGGGTCCCTCCCAGCGGGCCTCTCATCATTGGCCCTGCTCACGTTGCTGTGAGTCTCTCTCCCCGTGTACAGCAGTGCAGGCACCATAGGTTGTTTTGTTGGTGAGCTCATTGGTTAGCATTTCGTGATCTAGGTGCTCATTTCGTAGTACAGACTCTGCAGCAGCAGAAGGCATGGCCTTTGAGACTGCTCTGCTGCTCTGTGTGCTCAGTGTGGCGGTTCTCCTTTTCCGTTTGCTGCTGCCCTGCCCCTGCTGCGTCGTCTTTCTGCCCTGCACTGAGTGCACTGCACTTCGCTCACCACCCCACTGCTCTCACTGCGCTGCGCAAACTGCTGCTTCGCTCACTGCCTCACATATCATTCCGTTCTCTTCCCCCCCCCCTCCCCCCCCCCCCCCTCCCCCCCCCCCCCCCCCCCCCCCGCTCCACTGCCTCTCCTCTCCCTTCCTGGCAGGGACGTCTCGAGCAACTATCTCACAGGGCCCATGGTGGATCGCTCGAGCATGCCCGGCGGCACGCGGCACGACTACAGCAACAACTACATGACAGGAGCGCTGCTGAAAGCCCAGTGCAACTCAGGCGATCTTCAACTCGGCATCAACTGCTTCTCCACTGCTGCAGCGGTCTCGTGTGCGCCGCAGCGGCCCGTAGCAGTGTGCGAGGCGTTTTGCGGGCTGGTTGTGAGTAGCCCCACCACGCCGGTTTGTTCCGGCCTGGGAGTCTGCTATTTGGAAGGGCCGAGCCAGGTTCCCACGTGCCTGTGTCTGAATGGAGCCGTGCAGGATGGACGGATCTACTGCGCCCCTCCAGGTACGTGAGCATTAGGAGAAATACGAGTAGAATCAAGAGCAGTAATCAGTAGCAGGAGAAGATTTAGCAGGGGTGGCTGCAGGAACACTAGCAGCAGTCGCAGCAAATGCATATAACAACCACATCTTGCTTCCACTAACACTTTGCATGCCAATGTTCTTCTATAATGATTTTTCTTTTAATTTCCTCCCTCTCCTCTCCCCTCCTGCCCTTCCCTCCCGCCTCTCTCTCCTCTCCTCTCCTCTCCTCTCCTCTCCTCTACTTCCTCTCTTCCACCTTCTCTCTCCCCCCACCTCTCTTCCCTCTGATCGTAATTCTTCTGATCGTAATTCTGATGCCAATCGTTGCTGCGCGCAGGGTCCGTTGGGAGAAAAGAGCTGGTGGAGCCAACCTTTCTCACCAAGGGCGTAGTAGCAGCGACAGCAGGCGTGTTCACTGCGGACACTCTCACCCTCTTCTCGTACCGAACGGTTTCCACCGGCTGTGGCACCGACCTGCCATTCCGAGTCGAGTTCACATTCTTCATGCTCCCTACCTCACCAACGTATAAGGGAGCCAACGGGCTGGCATTTGTGATTTCGGCGACGAATGCGGCCGGGACTGACGGGGAGGGGGGAGGGGTGGGGTACGCTGGCATGGACGCTCGGAGCATTGCTGTGGAGTTTGACACGTTCACAGATGCAGCGCATGGGGACATGCAGGGAGATCATGTGGGGATTAACTCCAGAGGCAGCGCCACTTCCATCAAGGCCGTCCGATCGCCCTTCCGTCTCAACAACCAGAAGGCCTACACGGCATGGATTGACTACAAGCCGGGAAGCCCCGGAGGCCCGGGAACGCTGAGTGTGTATCTCGCTGGGGATGATGTGAAGCCAGATGTGCCTCTACTGGAGAGCCCTCTGTCGCTGTGTGACGTGCTGCAGCCGACGCCGGCTAACAGGTTCTTCTACTTTGGGTTTGTGGCGTCCTCTGTGGCTCCCTTCCAGCAGCAGCACGCCATCCTGGTCTCCTTCGTTGAAACAGGTGAGCCTAGCTGCTGTGGCTTGTGGAGACTGTCTCCTTTCTCCTTTCTCTCCCTCACGTTGGGGATCCCATTGCGGCTGGATGGCTTGGCTTGGTGTGACCCGCCACCCATTCGGTTGATTTCCAGCTGTTGCGTCGATGTCGTGTCTGTTTCTATCCCATTAATGGATGAGTTTGCCATTTGTTGGGATGGGATCACTCGCTCATTCGTCGTGTCTGTCTCTTTCGTGCTCTCGTGGATTCACTCTCTGTGTCGCCCCTGTTTCCATGCTGTTTGTTGTGCAACGCTCTCCGTCTCCTCCGCAGGGTTGACTCTCCCCACATCCCGGCCAGTGAAAGAAGGAAACAAACTTTTTACAAAGTTGAATCAGTCGCAGCCACGTAAACTATGGCTCCTTTCTGGGGCTCCATTGACTTTCCCCACATCCCGGCCAGTGAAAGAAGGAGTGTTTTGAGGCGTCTCAAAACCCTCCGCAGGGTTGACTGTCCCCCACATCCCGGCCAGTGACCATCACTCCAGGCAGGTACACCAGTGCATGCAATGCAACTTTGTGTTGCAGAGATTTCTTTCTATCTTTGTAAATGCAAACTCCAATGTTTATTAAGCAGCCTCAAAGAAAACCCTAGCTCACTCCCAGTTCTCCTCTCCCCATTCTCCCCACCCTTCCTGCCTCCCACCCCCCACCCCGCCTCTTCTCCCTCCGCTTGGCCCACCTCGCAATCCCTTTCCCTTGTTTTCCCCTTGTCCTGCCTTCCCTCCCTTCCCCTCACAATGCTCCACTGTTCTCCCCTCTTCCATCCTTCCCCCCCTCCCCTCCCCCTTCCTCCTTCCCCCCCCTCCCACACCCTCCCCCTCTCTCCCCCCCTTCCCCCCTTGGAGGCAGCCTATGGATTGGCGGTTTCGGCAGCAACGTTCCGCCCAGCAAAGGCGAGTCCGTTCACGCGGTACGTGAGTGCGGCCTACTCGCTCACGCAGTCGGGGCAGCAGGACGCCTGGCTCCTCCGCGACCCCTCCTCCTGGGATGTGCCGTGGCTCGCCTGGCCCGTCAAGGACCAGGACGCCTGCAGTGAGTGGCATGGGGGTTGTGGGGGGTGGGGGGGAATGTGGGAGGGAATGAGGGGAAGAGGGGAGGGAGGGAGGGGGGGAGGGGGGGGAAGAGGGGTCCAGGGAGGGTGGGAGGGAGAGAGGGAGGGAGGAAGGAAGGGGAGCAGGGTAATGGGTCAGTGCTTTTTCACGTTGTTTCAGTCTAGATTCTCTCTCTAAGTTCTAACACGTCCCCAACCACCTTCTTCTCTTTCGCTATGTACCCTGCACTCTTTTTCTCCCCACCATCCCTCTTTTGAGCCGACTCAAAAGCAATCTTCTCTTTCGCTATGCACCCTGTACTCTATTTCTCCCCACCATCCCTCTCCTCTCCCTTTTCCCGCCCAGATGCATGCTGGGCGTATGCAGTGGTGGCGAGCATAGAAGCAGCATACGGCATTGCAGAAGCAAAAGCCGCGCCACAACTCTCAGTGGAGTCGCTCTTTGCAGCCATGGGGCTCACCACTCAAGAAGGGAAGTGCAGCGCTGGAGGCTCTCCGACTGATGCCTTTGAGAAGCTGCTCTCTCTGCCCAAAGGGGGAGTCGCTCTAGCTGTCAACGCCACTGGCACAGCTGGTGCATTGCGTTCACGTGCAACTAAAAAGCCTGCTGTAAGTGCCGTGCCAGTGTGCTTCTGTTCTGTGTCAGTGCGTTCTGCGAATTCTTGAAAGTGACTTGGGTACGGATGGAAACATGGACAAAGGAATGGCCGTGAGAGGCTGGCAAGGCATGTGTATAAGGTGTGCGAATGATCGTGCAAGGCTGAACGTGGGCAAAGGCTGGGCGACGTTTGTTGCATTCTCACTCTTAACCTGACGATTGTCTGACTCTCTTCCTGCCCATTTATTCCACATATAACTCTGACTACATGCCTTCACACCCTTAGCTTTCCTTGTTGCATCCGTGACCACCCATCCAAGCCAAGTACTATCCCAGCCGTGGCTTGGAGCCTATGCAGGTGCCCTTATAAAAAAAATCATAAGTGGATATCCGTTTTTTTTTTTTTCCTCTCTCTCTCTCTCTACATTTTTCATGGTTTTTGATCGAACATGCATGCAGGTAAAGTACTACCCCATCCATCCAAGGGTTTGAGCGCACGCGGTTCAAGGGGTATGTGGGGCTCATGCTGGCAGTGCAGCGGCAGCCAGTGGTGGTTCACATCGAAGCCTCTGCTGCCACATTCGCCAGATATGACGGGGTGAGTGCCAGTCATGTGTGCGTGTCATGGCGATGACACGCACCTATAATAATAGTAATAATAATAATAATAACAGTAGTAATAATAATAATAATAATTATTGTTATAACGGGGAATGAATTAGTATATGCTGGCATGACCACAACACCCTCCCTCAGTCAGATTTCCTCGTTTTGCTGTTTGTGCTTTCCATGCTCTCAGCTAGACATGCGATAATTCCGCATCTCATTGTTTTGCTATTTGTGCTTTCCGCGCTCTCTGCTAAACATACAGAGGTTTCCTCCCTTAGCGGTGTACTGGTTGTGTTCCCTGTGCTCTCTGCCATGGCAGACATACAAGTACCAGGACCCAGCTTGCTATACAGGCGAGCTGAACCACGTGGTGCTTGTTGTTGGCTACTCCGTTGCCGTGGGGGACAGCGTGCAGAAGCGTATTCCCCCTCCGTTTTGGATCATCCGCAACTCGTGGGGCGCGGGGTGGGGCTATAATGGCCACATGCGCATGGACATTCAGGGAGGGGATGGCGTGTGTGGCATCAACGTGCTGCCTGGCATCTACCCCATTGTCAAGAGTAAGGCATCGTACCCATTTGTCAAAAGGTTGAGGCATCTACCCCGTTGTCACAAGCAAGGCCCATCAAGGGCACTTGTGAAATCACCACTTTATTGTGTCATGCTGGATATTTGCAACTGCACGATGCCGAATCCTCTACCAACTTCTAATCATACAATCTCGACTTTGCATGTGACTCCTTTGATTCCCGTGTAGTTCCCGGGGATCCATGTGGCAAGAAGAGTTTCAAGGTCGATCGAGACGGTGAACCCGCTTTCAACCCGTGCGGTCGCTTCACATGCAAGGCCCTCGCTAAGAACAAGGGCAACTCCTGCAACAAGTGCATCATCCCCAAGTCGCCCATACAGCCCTTTGTGGAGGTCGCCAATGGGTTTGGCGCCAAGACATGTGTTTATGGTGAGAGACAAGTGTTTGCAGTACGATGCAACATAAGTTCATAATGATGTGCTTGCCGCACACATTTGTGGCTCTCCACCACAAGACAATGTGATTTGAAAGGTTCATCTTTAGTCCTTTGAGGTGCTCATAGCTTGTTCATGTAGCACAAGATAGCCCATGTAGCCCAATCCTCTCTTTCCCTTTCCGGATTGCAACTGTGCACGTGTCCCATGTCGTGCTTGAGGCACCCATAGATATTCTCCCTTTTGAGGCGCCTAAAAAGGCACCCATAGATATCCTCCCTGTGCTGCCGTCCCAACTCGCACTTCTTTCTTGTCCCCCTCCCACCACTGGTGGCACGGCGGCAGTGCACTTTTGAGTCGACTCAAAAGTCAACTCCCAGCAGTACATGTGTCCCGAGTAGTCCGTGAGGCATTCCTAGATTATTCCTGTACTGCCACCGCTTACACTTTTCTCCAGTGGGATGTGTGCCGCTCACTTCCGAGAATCCATTATTTCCCTCTACCGCACCTCCCACGCTTCTTGCCAGTGGACGTGCCGGTGGTCCTCCCATGCTTCAACAAACCTGTCACTTCCCTTCCCCGACCCTCTCACACTTCTTTCTCGTCCCTCGTCCACCGCTCGTGGCACTGTGGCAGTGGACGTGTGTGGGTCGTACTTCAAGAACCCCTGTGCCGTGGGCACATGCATCAACGATGGCAAGGGCTCCTACTCCTGCATCTGCCCTCCCAACCACGTCCCCAGCCGAACCATCGATGACTTTCCCACCTGCGACCCAGGTACGGTCAAACGCTGCTCCTCCCCACCTGCCTGTCACCCACCCAGATGCTTCTACCCCAGTTCCCTTGCACACCAAGGTATCCCAAGGAACAAGTTTTTTTTTTTTTTATGAATAATAATAATTCTTTTTGGACGGTAGGACCATGCTCACAGTCATGACGTTTGAGGCTCCTTGAGAAGCCAACAGGACCCCATGTGCCTAGCAAGAGGCATGACTCTACGCGGCAGCAAGAGTTGCATGGAGAGGAGAAAGAAACAACAAGTGTGTTCTGTGTCTCTGTGTTTCTTCCCGCTCCCTCCCCCCTGTCCAGCCGGCAGCTTAGCTACCAGCTAGTCCGTCTGCTCCCTCCCTCCTGCACAGATGCCTTGCATTCTCTCTCCCTCTCCGTCACTCCCTCCCCTCTCTCCAGCTGGCAGCTTAGCCACCAGCTTGGCAGTGAGTGGCAGCAACTGGGCCTGCGCCGACGTTCATCCCCTCATGGGCCTCACGCTCGCCCAGTTCACACAGCAAAACGGGGTGAGTTGTTGTGGGGCGCGGGCATGCATGGGAGAGGAGAAGGAGGGCGAAAGGGATGGGAGGAGATTGTGGGTAGAGTCAAGGGGTTGGATTCGGCAGTGGGTGGGCATGCGCAACGGATGTGCGTGTAAGGGGAAGGCCGGGTGTGTTTACTGGGTGAGGGAGAGAGAAGAGAGGACTTAGCGGGTGTGGGGTTGTGCATGCGTGTGTGCAGCAAAAAGCTAGACCAGGGTGTCCCGTTACAGGGCCACCTTGATTGTGCGTATAGTTCCTTTCTCCTCTCGCCTCCTCCTTTGGCTCCTCCTACCTAACCCTCTCCTGTTATCTCTCTCTGCGGCTGACTTGATTGGCTCTCTGCGCCATACAGGCTATCAACTGCAACAAGCCGCTGCTACTGAATGCGGTGCTCCAGCTGGGCGGCTCTCCTGTCGTCCCCTGCACTGCCTTCTTCTACGCCCTCTCTGTGAGCTCTCATATTTGGTCCAACTACCTTTCTACTTACAGCTGGACTTGAGTAGATCAGGTGGTGAGGCCACTCCACTAAGCAGGAACCAGAGCACACGGACAGTGGGGTCGGTCAGTGGAGTCTGGAGTCACTGCTCTGACAGGGCACTTCTCGTGCATTGAGGTGTATTTTGAGGCGGCTCAAAAGACAGTGGGGTCAGTGGAGTCACTCTCTCCCCTGACAGGGTACTTCTCTTCTCTGTGCTGTCAGGGCTTTTGGGTCAGAAGTAGAGTCACTTTGAGATCACGGGAGGTTCTGCGGGTGCTGGGCTTACGGGGCTATGGGCAAGCTTTGTCGTACATGTAAGTTGTGCATCCGTTTGAATTGAACGATTTGGTTTGCATGGTAGACTGTTATGAGCTAATTGTGTCACAGCATCGCAGTAACTGCTGCTGATCACCACAATAACCCCTCTTCCCCTCCTTCCTGAACAAACGAGCTTGGCATGGCATGGCAATCATGAGCTTCACATTAGCATCTCATCAGGATTCAGCACAGCAACACATGCAGCTTGCATGTTGAAACCACGAGGGGCAATCAGCCGACTCTAAACTCCTCTCCCCTTGTTCACCCCTCCAGGGCGACACGTGTGAGTCCATCGCCTGGAGCATTGGGCGATCCGAGTCCGACCTTCTCGAGCTCAACCCCGGGCTGAGCTGCCAGCAGGGTATCAAGGCGGGGCGATCCTTGTGCGTTGAACGCAACCCCGAGTTCGCATTCAAGGTCCCGGAGTGCCTCAAGTTCACCACGCTCACAGCACAGGACTCGTGCGAGCGGCTGCTGGAGAGGACGGGAGGAACCACATCGGTGGGGGCATCTGCTTGGGACGAGCTCTACAGGAACAACCCTGGGCTCGGCTGCTCGGGCACTGTCCCTACCGCTGCCTCTGCTGTCGGCAGCAGTGCTGGTGTGCAGGTGAGCGGTGGACGGAAGGGAAGGTGGGTGGGTGGGTCGAATGGGGTGGTGAAATGCAGAGCATGGGAGGCGGAGAGTCTGTTCACAGTTAGTGGGTGGTTGGCATGGCAGGTTTGAATAGCGCGCTTTGTGTAATTGTTATATCCAACTCGTGAGACTCGTGTATTTTGGTACAGTATGTGAGTTTGGAGGTGGTTTGACTTGGGCTTGGGCAGCGTTGAAAACCGGTAACCTGTTGCTTGGTAGGTACCCGACTCACATGTGCTGCAGTGTCTTACGTCACGACGAAGCCTCATTCTATTATATGGGAGACATTGCAGCTAATGGTCGCTGCAGTAATCTGTCTGAATGCTTTGAGAGCATGATGACATCAATTCGGTCCCAGCCATTTTCAAAAGACACCTCTACGATTCTTAGTTGAGGTGTAACCAGCTGGGTGAAACGGCAACTCATGCTCCCTTCTTTAAGATCTGTCTCATGTTGTTGATTGACCTTCACTCGGTTTGTTTTTCCCTTCAGTTCTTGCCTCAAATTTTGAGGCATGAGCTTGAAGCTGACACTTAACACCTAGTTACCCCGGATTTTCTCTGACTTGGTGCGCTTGGCCTAAACCTGAGCAAGGTTGAACGCTGGGCAGTTGGGGATAGTGGTGAAAAAACGTTAGGCATGGCTTCGGGCGCGAAAGCCCAAGCACTCACAACACTTTTGGGGGGTTCGCTGAGTTAGCAAACCTCTGAAGCTGCCCTGTGGTTGGTGGCCCTAGTCCCGTATACCAAAGAGAACAATCTTCAAGTCTCCGTAGTTCACATCTCAGCAATAGTTAGTAAGGTTGACCTGTGCGATCCTCGAAATGAGCCACATGCTTTAAAGCCAGGGTCACACGTACTACGAGTGTTTTGCAGTTGAAGGTGAAAATTGGGCTGTGATTGGTTGGCGAGGTGTAAGTTTTGAAGTGGGGAGAAGCTAGGCGTGCGAAGCGAACTCAGATCGCTGAGTGTACCCGAACCTTCTAGGCTTGGAAACTTGGTTCGGAACCCAACCAAGAACGCCCCGAACTCAACAAAAGTCACAAGTACCCAAAAGTGTTTTGCAAATGCTTCTGGGGGCACTGGCGGGATGTGTCGCAAGCAGAGTTTTCAACCCAACCAGAGAGGACTTCGTCTGCATTAACTAGGTAACCTAGCTTCAACTGTTTTGCAGTTGATGGCTCCTTAGCTTACATGAGACCCTGGCTTTAACATTCCCCGTCATCCTTTCTCCACTCCTTCCACAACTTTTTCCTTTCCCTCTCCTCTCCACCTCCCACTATATCTCGCTGCTACCCCAGGTGTGCCTCAAGGCGGAGTACTGGCCATTTACACTCGGCAGGTGCACCAAGGGCCGGGCCAAGACAGTGTCGCCATCATTGTCGTGCTCCAGTGCTTACAGCTTCTATGGTGGCACCATGACAGCTGCGGCTGCCAAGTTCACCGAGTATAACGGCAATGCATGTGCCAAGAACGTTGGAGCCAAATATATGTGTGTGCCACGCTAGTGTATCTTGGGTTGGGTGTCCTGTCCGCTTGTTTGTCATTCAACTGTACCGTAACTAACAATGTCGTTAGCGATTTAGATATCTATCTCAAGAGTACATAGTAACTATTTCTGGTGCGCAACTCAAGTTGAGATGCGTGCAGTGAGAAACACTGATGATGATTTTCTTTTGAGAGCCTATGCTGTTCCAAAGTAACAACGACCTATCAGGGTTAGCACACAATCGCACGCTCGTGATCGTACGATTTAACGGAGCTGCTGTTATGAGTCTTTTATTCGTTCTAGTGGTGGGCTGGAGCCGTCTCATCGAAGCCGAAGTCGCACACAACGCAATGCCAGTGGGTGGAGGCGGTGTCTGAACGAAAGCGACATGAAGAAATCGAGCACTGTTTGGCTGCAGCCGTCGAGAGACAAAACTGTGTGGATAAATTTTATACCCGAAGGCGATTTAGGCTCTGTTCGGGAGCCCCGAAACAGAGGATGAGCAAGCTGCTCTGTACCGAACCTGAAGAAGAATACCGACAACACACCAGCTGCATGATTGAACAGTGGTAACAGCTGTGCAATCAGATTCGCCAGCTGGAGAAAATGACAGACATGTGCAAGAACGACAACCACCGCAAGCTGGGGGTCAAGATGCCAAATCACGCCTACCATCTCTCGTGCTCTATCAACTTCCCATTTCCTCTCCATCCCAAAACATATTTTCCAAAACATAGCAACCCTAAACACTGACATCTTTTCCAACACGTCGTAGTTGCAGCTGATTGCGAGGGCTTAGCCGCTCTGGGTAATCAAGAAGTAGAAACCCAGATGCCCAGCAAATATTCTTGGCCTCTGATTCTCACTTTCTCCTCGCTAGAGAATGGAGAGGAGAAAGTGATGCCAATTTTGCCTTTGATTACTGTTCAGTCGATGGACTGTAAGGGTAGCGGCTCGGAATCTCGAGTCGCTACAGAGGAGAAGAAGAGGTTGATGTTTCCAAACCTCGAGGTTTGGTGGCGAAAGTGGCCACCTGGGGGTCACACACGATTTTTGGGCTTCCGAGCCTAGTACTGTGTATCCTCTGGATCCGGTGTTGCTCCTCCTCTCTTGCTCCCGAACAGGCCCTTAGGGACAGGCGAAAGCACCTTGCCAGCATCCAACACCATCTGTTCAGTGTGCTGCCACCTCACAAGCAGTATTTTTTTTCGATCGTGGTTATTCTTTTCCGTTTCGAGCAACCTTCTTTTAGACCAACCTCCTGACCACACTCAAGTTCCAAAAGCAAGGTTCAATATTTTTATTCGATGACGATCTGTCAATGATCTGGGATCACGCAATTTCCTGGAGATCACGTATTTTTTTTTGTGATAAGTTATTTACTATCTCTTTATCCCTCGCAAATGACGCACTGCAGGGATGGAAGATGCAGCATACAGTACACCCTCATTCTCGTTAGACTGGCATATGTTATACTGACTAAGACGCTTAGTGTAGCCGCAGCGGACCAAAGAAGGTCCTATCACATGCGTCATACTGACAGTTTTGTTAGAAGTGGTTTCGCCGCTGCACCGACTTTAAGAGCGAAAAAACGACAAAAGGGATGCCTGGAAAATGCCTTACCTATGGCGGTGGGAAAGAATAGGCTTGAAATTGAGTTTCTGACGGCGGGAGAAGTTAGGTGTGAGAGCCTGAGGAAGAGCTGGTAAAAACGAGGGTTTCAGGAGGAAGAGAAGGGAGAACGTTCTGGACCGCCAGAATTTTCCCAACCTTTCTGGAGGCGGCGTTCGGTGGAATTGAAGAAAGTCGGTTTCACCGACGGTTCAGTTTGAATTACGGTTTTTCAACGTCGGTTACTGTTACGAAATTCGGATTCGCGACGAGGCGCGTTACGCGAGGCGCACTTTGAAATTCGGATTTCGGATTGCTTAAATTGCATGTTCTGTTTTCCTCATTGTATCAGATTTTCATAGTGAAACTTTCTGTTTGCAACCTGGGTTGGAAAGCAACCTGTTTGAGCAACTTTCAGTTCAAGTTTGAAGCCCGCTACTGCTACTTTCGTGACTCCTAAGTCACGTGCTTACTACGACTGAGACCAAGAGCTGGTATCAGAGCTGGTTCTAGTGCGTTCCAAGTATCAAAGAAGGGCCAAGACTAGTTCCTGCATCATGCCGAACGGGGATGGTGAGGCAAGCTCGGGTTCTTCAGTCAGTGCTGAAGTTCCCCAAGTCCAAGCCCTCTTGGAGGCTCTAACACAAGGGCAAGTGGTGGCCAGGCCAACGATCGGCCTGAGCGAGGCGCAACGGTTCAATGGCAACAATTACAGCACATGGCGTCTTAAGTTCATGCGGCGGGCAAGAGAGATCGATATATGGCACTTCTACAAGGCGGACGAGGAGACGGAGGAAGGAGTACCTCCACCTGCAACGGCAACGGCACAAGAAAAGAGGACATACAAGAAGAAGAGTTTACAGGCCTTCTTCCAACTATGTCACTCGGTCTCAGACTCCATCGCTGTGGGGCTGGACCAGTTTGCAGACGACATGAATTCAGCACAACGTGCATGGGCATACATGGAAGCCGTATACCTCGGACGGACCGACACGAATCTGACTGCAGTGAGAAAGAAGCTGCTGCTGCTCGCAATGGAACAAACGGAGAAGATTATTGACTATGTCAATAGAGCCAAGAGCTACAATGACGATCTCACAGCAATGGGGGCGCCCGAATCAGAGAAGCACATGATGGGATACATCATCAGCGGCTTACCTAAGGAGTGGACGGCAGAAATCGGAATCTTGACCTGCAACACGCCCAAGGACATGACACAGCTGCTCGAGACCCTCCAGGCGCTTGAGCTGGTCAAAGCTGACCTGAAACGGAGGGAAGCAGTGGAAACGGCAGCAGAGGAGAACAGGCCTGCAAATCTGAATGCAACACCGACACCAAGGAACTCTGGCAACTGCTACCACTGCGGGAAAAAGGGTCACAAAGCTGCGGACTGTTATTCCAACCCCAATGCAAGAAACTACAAAGGGACAGGGCGCTGGCAGCAAAACAGCGAGACGGGACGTGGAGAAGGCTACAAGGCAAGCAGAGGATTCAATGGAAATTGCAACCATTGTGGCAAGTATGGGCACAAGGCTTCTGATTGCTACCACAACCGAGCTAGCAGAAACTTTCGAGGAAAGGAGCTGCAAAGGCCAGCAGCAGCAGCGAAGACAAACCTGATGGAGGCTCCTACGGCTGTGGAAGAAACACCAAAGGTGGACCCCATCCTTGGAGGCGCCCACAAAGCCAACGTTGCTCGAGCATCCGAGGTGTGCCTGCTGTCCAAGGGATTCAAAGAAACTACTTGGTTTATGGACAGCGGGTGTACACGGCACATGACACACCGGGCTGATTGGCTACGCAACTACCGGGAATCTGGAGTCCCTTATGTCCTACTCGGGGATGAGGGAAAACTTCAAGTGCAAGGAGAAGGGGACCTGATCTTACAGAGTCCCTATGGGGAGCTGAAAATGGACAACGTTCTACTAGTTGAGAAGCTGTCCCTTAACCTCATAAGTCAAACGCAACTGGACAGCAGTGGCTGCAAGACCTTCATTGGCAATGGAAAGCTGTGGGTGTTCGGTCCCACCTGGAAACTGATAGCGGAAGGCGCAAGGACTGAAGGACTTTACGAGATGAAGCTGAAGGAGCAAAATACGCGTGAAGACAAGGTTACCTATCAACCTGAACCTGTGGAAGGGAAGAAGGCCCGAGAAGAGCTACGTACCATGCTGGAAAACACTGCAGTGGCCGAACTGCAGCAGCTGAAACTTCCGGTGGCAGCAGCGGCAGAAGCGGTTGACATCAGCCTTCTACACAAGAGGATGGGGCACGCAAGCACTCAACGGATCAAGGAAATGATGAAGAAAAACATGGCTGCGGGAGTGAAGGTGACGGGAGCTGAGGAAACCCATACTAAGTGCGACTCATGTGTTGAAGGGAAAGCTACAAAAGCTCCCCATCCAAGACATGGACCGAAGGAGCCATATGGGGCAATGGAAGTGGTGGCAGCGGACGTATGCGGTCCAATGAGGGTCACATCACGACATGGCAGCAGATACTTCGTCACGTTCACAGACATCGGCACAAGGCTCACATGGGTGACGGAAATCAAGGATAAAACTCAGGTTTTTCCGAGTTTTGTGGACTGGTTGGCAGAAGCTGAACGACAAAGCGGCAAGCAACTGAAAGTACTTCGAACCGACAACGGCGGTGAATTCATCAACAAGGAGTTCAACGACTACCTGAAAGCCAAGGGAATACGACGGCAGCGTACTATTCCCCACACCCCTCAACACAACAGTATTGCGGAGCGGGTGAATAGGACACTACTCAACAGCGTGCGAAGCATGATAGCGGACAGCAAGCTACCTTTGAACTACTGGGGAGACGCGCTGGGCATGGCTTGCTGGCTGAAAAATCGCCTACCAACGAAGGGACTTGCAGCTGACCTGACACCTCATGAGGCATTCTACAAACGGAAGCCTAACCTGAAGTTTCTTCGGGTATGGGGCTGTATGACGCAATACAGGCCCCCTGCTGGAGCTGATCACAAACTCCTGCCAAGAGCACGGTGGGGGGTGCACTTGGGAACATGCCCGGAGAGCAAAGGCTGGATTATCAAAGACGTGGAGACTGGAATCGTGCTGGCGACCAGGGATGTGACATTCTACGAAAATCCCAACTACGTGGACTGGAAGGCAAGCAACAAGGGCACAACTCCGGGGACAGCTCCTGCCACACCTCAACGAGCGGAGGAACTACTTGAAGTTGCCCAAAACGAAGGCTTGGGGACAGCGAACAATGAAGGGGAAGAAGAAGAGGAGGAACATACCCAACCGGGAGTGGATTGGGTGTGGGAGCCAACTGAGGAGACGCTCAACCACAATGACATGGAAGAGACTCCTGCAACCCCACACCCGCCGAAATCAGCGAGCAACAAAGCTGAAGGCATTGGAGAGGATGAAGCTGACCCAATAGATCAGTCAAGCAATGAGGGAAAAAGCGACCCGTGGGAATTTTTCGAGACAAGCAACAATGACAAAGGAGCAGCAGAGATCGACAACTTGCTGCAGGATGGTGCTATTCTCATTGGGAGAGAGGAAGGAGGCACGAGCACGGAGAAATCAGGGGAGATGGAAGCAGGCACGTGTGCAAGTGATGCTTCGGTGAAAGGAGAGGAGCTGGGAAGAGGGATGCGGACGAAGAAGCCGAATCCGAGATACCAACAGCTCTTGATGACATGCTGGAAAGACGTGCACACTCACCTCCTCCTCACCTCGACGGCAACCGCGTTGATTACCAAGGAAAGGAGAGAGACTTACCACCTGCCACAAGAACCCTTGACCATCGAGGAGGCACTTTCTGGACCGAACAAGGAGCAGTGGAAAGCGGCTATACAAGAGGAGTTGGACACTCTCGCGGAAAGAGGCACTTGGAAACTCGTCCAAATGCCCGAAGGGAGGCACGCCGTTGGCGTCAAGTGGATTTTTAAGATAAAAACAGGTGACATGGGGCAGCTGGAGAGGTTCAAGGCGCGGCTGGTGGCCAAAGGCTACACGCAAGTGGAGGGGATCGACTACACGGAGACATATGCACCAGTCAGCAAGTTGACTACAGCAAGGACACTCTTCAAGATAGTTGCAGCACGCAACTACATCATGGTTCAACTTGACATCAAGAACGCTTTCCTCTATGGCGAACTTCGAGAAGACATCTACATGGATCAGCCTACAGGAATGGAGGACGGAACTGACAGAAAATGCAAGCTGTTGAAAGCGCTCTATGGGCTGAAACAAAGCCCTAGAGAGTGGTACAAGGCTATGAATGCACGCCTGCTCGAAGGAGGATTCCAGAAAAGTCAGTGCGACAGAGCACTTTACTGGAAAGGGGAAGGAAAGGAGAAAGTCTACCTCCTACTCTACGTCGACGACATCCTAGTGGCGGGAGCATTGGAGGACAGAGTTGAGGAGGTGTGTGCTCACCTTGCAGCCGTTTTTCAAGTGAAGCAGATCCCGCGAGCCACGTTGTTCCTGGGCATGAACCTGGAGCGGGACCGAGAAGGCAGGAAGCTGCTACTTTATCAAAAGAAGTACATTCAACGGCTGCAAGAACGATTTGGGACACCAGACTGCACCAAGGCCATGACAACTCCGCTCAGCAGCCTCTCGGAGAAGGAAATCGATCCTGAAGAAGAACTCATCCAATGGGGCAGCAAGGAGCGAGCAGTGAAGGCTTACCAGTCACGCGTCGGATCGGTGATGTACCCCGTCTCTTGTACGCGGGTAGACGTCGCACATGCTGCCAGCTTCTTGGGGCAGAACGTGCTACAGCCAGAAGGCCGCAAGTGGAAGGAGATGCAGCGCACAATCGCTTATCTGCAGCAACGGGGAGAAGAGGGGCTACTCTACGAAGGCGGAGAAGAAACAATGGAGCTAATCGGATATGCTGATGCATCTCATGCATCAGACAAGAAGGACCGGAAGGGAGCTTATGGATACGTCTTTCTCCTGGGCGGGACAGCAATCACTTGGCAAGCAAAGAAGCTAAACGACATTGCACTCTCGAGCGCGGAAGCTGAATACATGGCGTTATTCTACGCCTGTCAAGAAGGAGTATGGCTTCGGCGTTTGATGCAAGAAATGGGGATACACATTGCAGGACCAACTACCATCAGATCGGACAGCATATCGGCCATAGCATTGGCGAAAAACGACAACTGGCACGGACGTACAAAGCACATGGACATCAAATACCATTGGGTGCGTGAACAGCTGGAGAAAAAGGCATTCACCTTTGAGTTCGTACGAACAGAAGATCAAGCAGCCGATTTCCTTACTAAGAACCTTCCGAAGGCTAATTTCGAGCGCTGCAAGTATCTCGTCGGGATGCGGAACCTGCAGGACTTACAGGGGAGCAAGGTGCAAGAACAGTGATGAAGATTTTCAGATCTAGGGTTAGCAGCAGCAAACCACAGGGGAGATTGTTAGAAGTGGTTTCGCCGCTGCACCGACTTTAAGAGCGAAAAAACGACAAAAGGGATGCCTGGAAAATGCCTTACCTATGGCGGTGGGAAAGAATAGGCTTGAAATTGAGTTTCTGACGGCGGGAGAAGTTAGGTGTGAGAGCCTGAGGAAGAGCTGGTAAAAACGAGGGTTTCAGGAGGAAGAGAAGGGAGAACGTTCTGGACCGCCAGAATTTTCCCAACCTTTCTGGAGGCGGCGTTCGGTGGAATTGAAGAAAGTCGGTTTCACCGACGGTTCAGTTTGAATTACGGTTTTTCAACGTCGGTTACTGTTACGAAATTCGGATTCGCGACGAGGCGCGTTACGCGAGGCGCACTTTGAAATTCGGATTTCGGATTGCTTAAATTGCATGTTCTGTTTTCCTCATTGTATCAGATTTTCATAGTGAAACTTTCTGTTTGCAACCTGGGTTGGAAAGCAACCTGTTTGAGCAACTTTCAGTTCAAGTTTGAAGCCCGCTACTGCTACTTTCGTGACTCCTAAGTCACGTGCTTACTACGACTGAGACCAAGAAGTTTGACCCAGGGCGTTTAGTCTTGGTTCTATACGTTCTAGAATGGTACTGCTGTTTTATAAACGGGTAGGACAGTCATTCAGCGTTAACGGAATTTTACGGCCCAAGTCTGGTTTCGTCGCCTCGTGCGACTTGGCCCGCAACCAAGTTATCTCACCAGCCCGCTACGTCCAAACACTGTAGCCACTGCTTCCGCCGGTGAGGAGACTGAGAATGAGGGTGTATGAGGGAGCAACAGACTCCTAGTCCAATCTCTCATCCTTCTCATCAGTTTTCAGGCGGAGCGGATGTGCATGAAATGGTGTCCATGCATCATATGGCAACTTGCACTATTATTCAAAGTGGCGTTTTGAGTAAGCTCTGTTGTGTTGCTTTGAGGATGATGTTGTTCCACCGAAACCCTTCCATCAGTTTTTCAGCTGGTTTCCAACCTCGCCAGCGCATCTCCAACATACACCGTCGTAGCAATTGCTCGGTCGGTGGATGGTTCCATCGCTTTTTCCTTGCACCTGCTTTCCGAGCTCAGGATAAGGTTAATATAGGGCGTGTCATGGAGTTCACTTGGGATTCAAGGAGATGTCCTTTGTGCGGCCGAGGAGGGGTAGTTTATCCCTTTATAGCCGTACAGACCGGTTCGCGGATCGCACAAGGCGGCTTTATCCGTCGATAACTCGCTTGTCTGCAGTAAGCATTTGACCTACAATTAGTACTAGACGATCACGGTCCTTCCTCCTTTTCAGCCTGCGCGTCTGGTCCGTCTCTGAGCCTCGTCAGAAAAGGACGCCGTGAAGTCTTATTTTGGCCCCTTTGTCTGTGGTACTCAGCCGTTATGCCCGAGCCTTCAACCATTCGAGTCTGCGCAGTGCCGTTGCGAGCGGCAGCGCCGGTTGTGATGCAGTGTCGGCGACACCACTCGTTGGCGCACTGCGCATCATCATGTCTCAAGGAGGAGCAACATTCGCCGGATCATAGCCAACCAACTACTACGGCGTCGAGTAGTAGCAGCAGTAGCAATCGCCGTAGCCGGCGTGTGAGGATGACGGCGCAACTTCTGACCGCATGTCTCGCGGGCCTCTCTTTCGTTCGCACCGCCAGTGCCGGACTTTCCGGCAATTCTGTCCCACTCGACGCCACCCAAGGTACTACCAATGGCTCTCCGCCGTGACTTTTAAAAAGATTCATCAGGCATCTACGAGACGGGCTCCTGACATCAGGGAGGCCGCGCCGTGACTCACGGCCCCTTCCCCAAGACCTTTTCTCTCTTTCTGCCGCCTGTTGGGCCTTAACCCTGGAATTTATGTTCCAATGTGAATTCTTGACGTGACGACACGCGCTGCTGTCTTCACTGACGGCCTTTCTTCGTCTCTTGCGCCACACCGTCGCGCTGAATGCTGCATGCTGCTCTCCCCAAGGTATTTTGCAAAACCAAGGTATCCAAAAAGTATCATTTTTGCAACATTCCCGCAACTTTATGGCAAGCCCTTTTTCGCGATGCCGGCACAGCCCCGGCCCTGCAGGACTGCCAGACGGAGTGGAACGTGGTGATGCCGACGTGGAGTGCGGGGGAGAATTGCGCCGTGGCGAGTTTTGACCCAAACGAAGCCCCCTAGGTGAAGCCCAGAGGCATTCTGTGTGATGGCAACGGCAAGGTTATCGCACTGTGAGTGCGCGCCTTGCTGGATAAGGGCCTGCCTGTGCGTGCCAGGTTCGTCCTTCAGCGTTTCTCCTGTTTTTGCTTTGGCACAATGTCATGCAGGGGCGTTGAATGCATTAGTATGGAATGGAATCACCTCGTCCTCATGGAATCACCCCCCTGCCTTGTGTCATCTCTGACAGGAGCATGCCAAACGAGCAACTCCAGGGATCCCTACCTGCGTCGCTGGGCTCCCTCGCTCAGCTCGCCTACCTGTGCGTGGCGGTTTAATTTGAGCCACTCCCACCTGCCCCGTTCTCTAGATGAGGATGAGATTGCCTTGCCTTATAAAGGAGGGATTGCCTCAAAAGGGGCGCTGGAGTTGCTGTAGGTAGGAGACGCCAACCTGCTGTGGAGCACACTCGTTTACACCCTCTGCTTGTTTATAGAACACGAGGGCTCCTAGTCTCATTCCAGCCACCCTCCACGTGCATGTCTGCCTCCACTGTGTGCCAGGCGCCATTGTGCGTCCATGGCCACCACCTTTCTTGCGTCGTCCCACTCTGTCCCCCTCTGTCCGCCTCTGTCCCCCTCTGTCCGCCTCTGTCCCCCTCTGTCCGCCTCTGTCCCCCTCTGTCCGCCTCTGTGTCCGCCTCTCTCCGCCCCTGTCCGCCTCTGTACCTTACTGCCCTGCCCATCTCTCTTCCCTTCTGTGCGCCTCAATTGATTCATGCACTCACAGACACCCACCCACACATGCACACTCACTCGCACACATGCACACGCACCCACATTTGATTCAAAAAAACCATGCGCTATTGTTCCATCTCATCTCCTCTTTATGACTGCATGCCAGTCACGATCCATCCATGCAATGCCCCCAGTATCCCCCCCAATCTCCCCCATTCCCCCTAGTACCCTTGTGATGTGAGGCAGCACGGAGCTGTCTGTACGGTGCCAGTCCCCATGGTCTCCTTCATCTTGTGCCCTTGCTCAATTCACCTCAGGTCCCTGGGTTCAAACCAGCTTCGTGGCTCCCTCCCAACCGTCTTGTCGTCGTTGACTGGGCTCACCGTGCTGTGAGTTTCCCCACTGCAGACATCATGCCTCGTTAGTGTCATTCTTGGAACGAGCTGCTCTCTCCGTGCAGTCTGCGCTGCAGCAGCAGACATGGTCACATGGCCTTGGCAACTGTGTGTGTGCGTCATCTCAGCCGTACCTATGCTGCGCGCACTGGCTCACTTACATACTCATCATGTTCTGTTGCTCAACACCAACTCTTTTCTTCATCACGACATTACATTAGCACTTGTTGCATCACTTCCCTTCTCGCAAGCCCTCTGTAATGTACCTCACGTCCCTTACCCCTCAACACTCCTTCCACCTGTCTCCTGCTCACTCCCTTCCTTTTCCCTTCCCCACTCCCTCCTCCCCCCTCTCCCTTCCCCTCAGGAACGTCTCAGGCAACTATCTCACAGGCCCCATTCTGGACCGCACCAACATGCCGGCCTCGGCACGCTACGAGTACACCAACAACTACTTCACAGGAGATCTGCAGCAAGCTGACTGCGTGTCAGCCAATCTCAAACTCGCCGCAAACTGCTTCTCCACAGCAGCAGCAGCGGCAGCGCTGGCAGTCACATGTACCGCGCAGCGGTTGCCTGCGGTGTGTGCGGCGTTATGTGGGATGAACGGCACCACCACGCCTGTTTGCAACGGCATGGGGCTGTGCTATCTAGACGGGCTGAGCCTCGCTCCCACGTGCCTCTGTCTAAATGGAGCCGTGCAGGATAGAAGAAGCTCCTGCGCCCCTCCGGGTATGTGCAGTAGGAGAAGGTGGAGCAAGTAGTAAGTGTCAAATTATAATGCATGTATAGTCTGTAGTGGGGTACTCAAAAGTGAGTATAACCCTTTTAGGGCTTACTACTTGTATCCCCCTCCTTTCTATTTTCGACATTCTCCTTCCACAATTCTCTCGACATTTCACTTACACCCAAAAACTCGAACTCACTCCTAAACTACCATGGCTCCTAAGCCTAAGTCACGCTAGTTTCTTAACATGGTATCAGAGCTTAAAGCTCCTGGCCTGTGGGCCCACTTGCTTCCGCTGCCCTACTGTGTGTCGCGCGCCCCTTGGCGCGCGACATTCTATTTTTCTTCCCGCCACGCGCTCAGAACGCGTGGCGGTTTTTTCTGCCCGCCGTGCGCCCCGAGGCGCGCGGCGGGTTCCTACCTTGTCGCGGCGTCTTGGGGGCCCGCGCACTGGCCTCGACCGTTGCCTCGTCGCGGCGTTTTGGGGGCCCGCGCGCAGGCCCCTCCCGTCGCCTCGTCGCGGCACTTTCGGGGTCCGCGAGCCGGCCCCTCCCGTTGCCTCGTCACGGCGCCTTAGGGGCCTGCGCGCGGTCCCCTCCCGTCGCCCGTCGAGGCACTTTCGGGGGCCTGCGCGGCTCCCTAGCACGTCGCCTGACAGGGCACCCTGGGGGCCGCGCCCTTCCCCTCCCCTCCCTCCTAATTTCCGCTGCAGCTGCAGCCCCTGGAGGAGCCGCCCCAGCAGCAGCAGCACCTGGAGCAGCCGCCCCAACAGCAGCAGCCCCTGGAGCAGCCGCCCCAGCAGCAGCAGCCCTTGGAGCAGCCGCCCCAGCAGTAGCAGCCCCTGGAGCAGCAGCCCCTGGAGAAGCCGCCCCAGCAGCTGCAGCCCCTAGAGCAGCCGCCCCAGCAGCAGCAGCCCCTGGAGCAGCCGCCCCAGCAGCAGCAGCCCCTGGAGCAGTCGCCCCAGCAGCAGCAGCCCCTGGAGCAGCCGCCCCAGCAGCAGCAGCCCCTGGAGCGGCTGCCCCAGCAACACCAGCCCCTGGAGCGGCCGCCCCAGCAGCAGAAGCCCCTAGAGCGGCCGCCCCAGCAGCAGCAGCCCATGGAGCAGCCGCCCCAGCAGCAGCCGCCCCAGCAGGAACAGCCCCAGTAGCAGCAGCCCCTGGAGCAGCCGCCCCAGCAGCAGCAGCCCCTGGAGCAGCCGCCTCAGCAGCAGCCGCCCCTGGCCCCTACAACAGCCGCTCCTGGACCCGATGCAGCCGCGGAGGGGTGGGTGTGGGGGTGATGGTTGTGGGTGTGTCGGTTGTGCGTGCCGTCCCCTCCTCCTCCTCCTTCGTCTCCCACTGCTGCAGCTATCGTTGAGGGGGGTGGATGTGTGGGAGTCTGGGGTTTAGGGTTTAAGGGGGTGCTGTAGGTGTAGGGCTAGGGTTTGAGCAGGGGGTGTGTGAGAGGGGCGTTGGGCAGCTGGGGGAGGTTGAGTGGAGGCAGCAGTCTTGTCGTCAGTAGCACCATCAGTCCGGAAGCTACAATCTCCGGTAGTCGCCAGTCGCCTGTGGGTCAGTTGCTCGTCTGCCGCTACTTTTAGCCGCGGAGCCAGTTACTCCTGTAGTCCGGGCCTTTGCTTCGGTAGCCACTGAGCCAGCAGCTCGTCTGTGTGTCTGCAGCATCAGCAGTCGCCTCCCATCTTCTCTCTCCCACAGTCTCTCATCCTCCTCACTTGCCCACTGTGATTAGCTCTAGCCTTACTTACCTATTGTGAACTCTAACTATATGCCTGCATTCTGTACTGATTATACCCCACTTTGACTATGGGAGTGTGTCAGATTATAATGCATGTCTAGTCTATAGTGGGGTACTCAAAAGTGAGTATAACCATTTTAGGGCTTACTACTTGTATCCCCATCCTTTCTATTTTCAACATTCTCCTTCCACAATTCTCTCGACATTTCACTTACACCGTAAAACTCGAACTCACTCCTAAACTACCATGGCTCCTAAGCCTTAGTCACGCTAGTTTCTTAACAGTAAGAAGTAGCAGCAGCAGCACAGATAGGAGCAGCAGCAGAAGTAGGGACACTAACAGTAGAGAACAAGCTGCATGTCGACTAGTAGATCGTTTGCATCCTTGCATCTTTGCATGTACGCACTCGTTTGTTCTTGTTTTTTTCGTTTCATCGCTTCCTCTCCCTTTTCCCTCATACCCTCCACTCCAACTCCGCTCCTCTCCTTCTCCTCTCCTCCTCTCCTCTCCTCTCCTCTCCTCTCCTCCAGCTCGTCCCCTCTTCTCTCCGATTCCTCTCCACCAGCCCGAGCCCAACCCCGAACCAACCCTAAGCCCAATTAAACTCCCAACTCTTCTTCTGACCACAACTTGTTATTGGTCCGTGCTGCATGCAGGGTCTGTGAAGAGAGGGGAGCTAGTGGAGCCGGCTATTCTCACCAAGGGCGCAGACGAAGCAACGGCTGTGGCACTGACCTGCCATTCCGAGTCGAGTTCACACTCTTCATGTTCCCCACTGCTATCGCATCCTTTAAAGGAGCCAACGGGCTCGCGTTTGTGATTTCGGCGACGAATGCGACCGGGACTGGAGGGGCAGGGGGAGGGGTGGGGTACGCTGGCATGGACGCTCGGAGCATAGCCGTTGAGTTTGACACGTTCTCAGATGCAGCGCACAAGGACGTGCAAGGAGACCATGTGGGTCTGGACATTAAAGGCAACGCCACGTCTGTCAAGGCTGTTCTCTCGCCCTTTCGGCTGAACAACCAGATTGGTTACACCGCATGGATTGACTACAAGCCTGGAAGCAGCTCGGGGAGGATGGGAAACCTCAAAGTGTATCTGGCTGTGGGAGGGGACAAGCCGGACGCGCCTCTGCTGGAGAGAAATATATCTCTGTGTGCGATTCTGAGCCAACGTCGACTGATGCGTCGTTCTACTTTGGGTTTGTGGCGTCATCTGTGGCTCCCTTCCAGCAGCAACACGCCATTCTCCAGTCATAATGTTATTCTCTAGCCTGTAGTGGGGTGCTCTATAGCGAGTACAACCCATCTAGGGTTTGCTATATGTATCCTCATTGCTGCTAGTGAAACCCCTCTCTTTTTCAGTCCTCAATTTTCACACCTCCTTCGTTGAAACAAGTGAGTCCAGGTTTTCTAGGAGCTCTCCCCTCTCTCCTTCATGTTGCGGATTCGAATAGATGTCCGTTTCTTTGGTTTCTAGCTATTGATTTCATATAAAGTACTTGTTTGAATCGCGTCTGTTGACTTGTCTGCCCATTTTGTTGGCATCACTCATCATGCTAACTGGGCTGACAACTTCTTAAGTTAAGACGCGTTCGCTGATTTCCTGATTCATTCTGTTCGCTTGTCATGCAATGATTTGATGCCCTCCACTCCACAGGGTTGACAGTACCTGCTTTTGAGTCGACTCAAAAGAAGTCATGCAATGATTTGATGCCCTCCACTCCACAGGGTTGACAGTGCCCACACCATCCAGGCCAAGGTTAAAAAAAATGACCGTATTTTTGAAAATTTACCGTAAAAAACGGCTCCGTAAAAAACAGCCGTAAAAAAGGGTAAAAAACGGTTCCAAAAGGTGATTTTTGTCTAAAGAAAAAATCATCCATATTATGGGACCAAATTGATGGGAAAAACCACCAGGATGAAGAGGACGATCCCCTCTTTGCTTGTGTGCATGCGTAAGCGTGATCGAAAATGTATTCGACCTTGTTTTTGCATTTTTTTTTCTTGGTGATAAGAGTTCTCTAACAAAAAAACGGCCGTATTTTTTTAAATTTTACCGTAAAAAAACGGACCGTATTTTACGATTACCATATTTTTGAACCTTGATCCAGGCCAGTGTCCATTACTCCAGGTACACATGTTCAGAGAGCCTTTTCTTGCTGAAAGTCCTTCTTTTTCTGTTTTTTTTTTCTTTGTTTTTTTTAGTTACAAGCATGTTATTTTAATATCCTCGAACCCTCATCTCTAAGAAGAAACGAGAATGATTGCATTGAGCAGCATGAGGAGTACAAGTAGGAAACCCTAATTGGGTTGTACCCCCTATGGGATACCCCACTACAGCCTACACAAAAACATAAGCTATAATATTCTGACACACCTCCATAGGCAAAGTGGGGGACAACAGAGGGTCACAAGACCAGTCAAGCAAAGCAAAGCAAAGCTCTGGGTGGATCACAAAGTCACCACACATTCCGAGCACAAGTTCAAGGCCTCAAGGCCAGTTCACATGCAGGAGTACATATACATAAAAGGCTAGACAAACAAAAGCAGGAGTATATATATATGTAACAGTACAAACAAGGTCAAGAGGTGAGCAAGTGAGGCAAGACAGGCACAAGACCCAGCTGAGTGCAGAAGCGCTGATGATCACAAGGCGGAAGTGCTTTGGTGAAGACATGAGCAGTGTTGGCCTCAGAGGCCACGTACGCAAGCCGTAGCTGTCCACGCTGCTGTAGCTCACGAGCAAGGAAGGAGCGGAGAGCAATGTGCTTCGTTCTATGCTCCAGTCGCTGCTCTCGACACAAGGCCAGCATGGCCTTGTTGTCTACGTACAGAACTGGAGGAGAACGAGGTGGCTCTCCAAGGTCGGTCAGCAAGTAGGTGAGCCAGCGAAGCTCCTGTGCAGCCATAGCCCCAGCGTAGATCTCAGCCTCATAACTGGAGCCGAGAACAGAAGACGAGCGAGTAGCCCGCCACGAGACAGAGCCGGAACCAAGGCTGAAGGTGTAACCCTGTGACGACCGCTGTGTAGCCTGGTCGTTTGCCCAAGAAGCGTCTGCGTGCCCAGTGAGGACCACTGGACTCCGCCCTCCAAGAACTAACCCCATGCCCGACGTACTGCACAAGTAGCACAACACCCTCTTCGCTGCAGCCATGTGCTCTGGTCGATGTCTCCAAGGAGCAACATAGTGTGCGAGAATGCTAAGAGGGTATGCAAGGTCAGGTCGAGTGCAGGTCATCAGGTACATGAGGCAGCCAACAAGCTCTGGATACAGGCCACTCGACTCTACGGACTCATCC